GACTGGGGGATCCAGTGCTGTTAACTACCACACCACCTGCCGTCCCTATTGTTCTGTTTTAAGAGAAGAAATGGTTTGAGATGTGAAGTGACATCTCCCAGGTCACACAGCTGTGAAATGGTGGAACTAAAGTATGGATGAGAAGTTAGGTAATGCACCTCCAAACCCCACATTCTCTTTTGCTATACCGGCCACATTTCAGATTTAAACATATGAAAATGAAAGAAAAATCACATCTTCTCTTGTCCATCTAGACTTGCTGGGGGTTTCTATAGGAGAGTATTCTGTGTGTGTGTGTGTGTGTGTGTGTGTGTGTGTCTGTGTGTCTGTGTATATGCATACAATTTTATTTATTATTTCTATTATTTTTGTTTCTTTTTTTTTTTTTTTTGGAGAGGTTTTCGCTATAGGGCGCGCATGCTCTCCAGACAGACAGAGAGAGACATAGAGACAGCGAGAAATCACCCCCCAGGGGGGATGGTCATGCCGCAATCCCTTCTCCTCCATTCTCCTCTCAGGATCTTGGGCACGCATGCACGTGCACCTGGCGTGAGTTTTAAGCCACCGGGTCCGGGATGCGAACCGCGGTTGACTTCGTGGGAGTTCAGTGACATAGCCGTTATGCTAACTGCTGGTTCCTATTATTTCTATTATTGTTATTATTCATTTGCTGTAGGGCACGTGTGCTCGTCAGAAAGGGGGAGGGCAGGGGGAGTGAGAAAATAAGCTGCCAGGTCTGGGACGCTAACTGTGGCCAGACATGTGGGGGCCCAGCGCCTCAACCACCACACCACCTGCTTGCCCATATCCTGCATATATTTTTTTTTTTTTAAAGAATCATTTTATGTAAATTTATTTATGTATTTAAATTTGACCAGAGAGGACAGAGCAAGAAAGGGGATAAGTGAGAAAGCAAGCCGCCAGGTCTGGGACTTTAACTGCTGTGGGCCATGGCGGAATCCAGTGTCTTCAATCACCATGCCACCTGCTGGCCCCATTTCTGTATATTTTTTAAGCTGCCCTTTCACCTGGAAATGCTTTTCATTTTTTTTCTTAATTGCCAGAGGATAGATGTGCTTGCCAGAGAGAGAGGGAGAAAGAAAGAAAGCATTCCAATGAGATGTGGTCATGTCACTTTCCCTTCTTCATTTCTCCACCCTGTCAGGATTTCCCACACACACACACATGTGGCCAGTGTTGTTTTTCAGGATACCATAGCTGGGATTCAAACTGCAGTTGGTCATATGCGATCTGGGTCCCTTAACCACTATGCTGTACCCACCTTTTACTTAGTAAGTATTGGGTTTCATGGCACATAGTTGTTTTATGATATTAGAACTGCTATAACTAAAAAGTTTATTTCTAAAGTGACAGAAAATCTGTTTACATATGGTGGTTGAGGCCTTGGACTCCCATATGGCTGACTGCAGTTCGAGTCGTAAACCTTGCGGCTTGCTTTCTCACCTTCTCTCTCTTTCTCTCTCTCTCTCTGTCTCTCTCTGGTGAGCATATGTGCCCTGAATCAGATTTTAAAACTCATAATAATAAATAAAATTAAATAATTTTAAAACTCCTAATAATAAATAAAATTAAATAAATAATTTAAAAAAAAAAAAGACAAGCAGAATCTTGAGAATCACTTTTTCCTTTACAAAATCCTGGTAGGAAATAAGTACGGTGGGGACCAGCAGATGGCATAATGGTTAGGTTTCTAGACTGAACCTGGTGGCTTAAAACTCAGGCTGGGACATTTTGTGAAGAATTGGAGATGGAGCGGTTGTGGCCGCATTGCCTACCTCCAGCTGCAGTCGCTTTCTTTGCTTAGAACTTGGGAGCAAGAGATTCAGAATCTATCTCTTTTTCTTCAACTTCTTGTGAGATTTTTTTTTTTTTGACCTTCAGCTATACTTTTTGGCTTTGTGAGGAATCTTGCCATCAATCGCAATGGCCAGCAATGTTACCAACAAAACAGATCCTCGCTCCATAAACTCGCATGTGTTCATTGGGAATCTCACCACACTTGCAGTCAAGAAGTCTGATGTGGAGGCAATCTTCTTGAAGCGTGGCAAACTTGTGGGTTGCTCTGTGCATAAGGGCTTTGCCTTCATTCAGTATGTTAATGAGAGGAATGCCCGGCCCACTGTGGCAGGAGAGGATGGCTGGATGATTGCTGGCCCGGTTTTAGATATTAATCTGGCTGCAGAGCCAAAAGTGAACCCAGGAAAAGCAGGTGCGAAATGATCTGCAGCAGAGATATACGGGTCCTCTTTTGACTTGGACCATGACTTTCAGTGCAATTATTATGACAGGATGTACAGTTACCCAGCATGTATTCCACCGCCACCTCCTATTGCTCGTGCTGTAGTGCCCTCGAAATGCCAGCGTGTATCAGGAAACACTTCACGGAGGGGCAGAAACTTCAATTGTAAGAGTGGACGACGAGGATCGTCTTCCAAGTCTGGAAAGTTGAAAGGAGATGACATTTAGGCCATTAAGGAGTTAACCCAGATAAAACAAAAATTGTATTCTCTTCTGAAAAACCTGGGAAAAAATCAAAAAGGAACAGAGCAAGCAAACAGCTGGAGTTGATCAAGGATGATGAAAAAGAGGCTGAGGAAGGAGAGGATGAGAGAGACAGCGCCAATGGCAAAGATGACTCTTAAGCACATAGTGGGGTTTAGAAACCTTACCCATTATTTCTTTACCGAGGCGCTTGTCTAAGATCAAAATTTTCCCTAGATCCTCTCCCCTAGTATCTTTGGCACATGCTCACTGTTCTCCCCATCTTTGCCCTTCCCACGTTCATTAATTCATACTACCCTGCACCTGGTCCCATTTCACTTCTTTTGATGCTCCTAGTAGTTCTGTTAAGTCTTATCCTATAATTTTGCTTTTAATTTTGATACCTCTTTACGACTTAACAATAAAAAGGATGTATGATTTTTATCGACTGTCTCCAAAATAATCCCTTGTTACACAAGGAGTACAGATCTTTTCATTCACTGATGAGTTCAGAAGTTGCTTCCCTAACTGCAAAGGCAGTATCATCTAGTTGAGTAGCACCTGAGAGCAGCTTTGAGTTAGAAGTATGTCTTATGCCCCACATTAGAGTGCCTGTAGGGCTGTTCAACACAAATCTAACAGTGTATCTTTGTGAGTGGGAGTTGGCATGTCAAATGCATCCTCTAGAAAAGAGTGTAATAGTCTTAAGATTTGTTTTCTAAAGTTGTTACTGTGGGTTATTTTTGTGAGCAGCCTGATGTTAGGTACCTTTTCCCTCAAAATGAAGAAGTCCTTATTAAACCGGGGTTGGGGCGTGGGGACTCAGTCTGGGCACATGTGCATGTATTCCCAAAATTCCAAGAGGAGAATGGAGAAGAAGGGATGGCAGTGTGGCCATCTACCCTTGGGGGTGATTTCTCGCTTTTTGTCTCCCTGTCTGTCTGGTGAGCACACACCCTATAGTAAAAAATCTCTTAAAAAAAAAAAGTATGGAATTTGACTTTAAGTTGGAAATTTAGAGAGGTGATTGAATCCAGTCATCTACACTACTTAGGAAAAATGTTAGGTCTGTAGGCAAGTATGTACTTGAAAAGCCTGTTGTTTCCACTGGGGAATTTAGAAAAATCCATTTCTTTTTATTGCTAGCTTATATAACAGATTTGACAAGTACTTTATTGCCCTTTACATTGCAGTTACCTCAAAATGGAGATAATGATCTATGAAGGGATACCTTTTTTACTAGAGACTTAGTAAGAATCAGCATAAACTTTAAAAAATTGAAAGAGGAAATATTCCAACACAAGTTTGTACAAGAATTTATAATAAATACTTTTAGTTTTGATAAACTGTTAATAAAGTATCTATATAAAAATCTAAAAATGTGAGTTTTTAGATAAAAGAATTTTTTAATTTAAAGCTTCCTTAGAATGAATCTAGGGACTAGCAGGTAATGTGGTGGTGAAGATGCTGAATTCCCATGAAATCCCAAGAGGAGAATAGAGGAGGGATTGCTGTGTGGCTATCTCCTCTGGTGGATAATTTCTTGCTTTTTCTCTCTGGCAAATAAATGCATGTGCACTGTGGCAAAAACCTTTAAAAAAGAATGACTCTAGTAAGGGACAAGCTGCATTTGGGGACCATGTCCTGAGTTTCCAGACCCCCTATCTAGTGTTATTTACTGTGTGCAGCACTTCGTACATATCTTAAATGTCTCTACTAGTTGTTCGCACTTTGCCCAGTCTTTTCTTAAATATCAAAACAGGGACCAGCAGATGGCAAAACAGCTGTGTCACTGAACTTCCACATAGTCGACCACAGTTCAAGTCACGGACCCGGCAGCTTTAAACTTATACCAGACATGCGTGCATGTATGCCCAAGATCCCGAGAGGAAAATGGAGGAGAAGGGATTGTGGCATGGCCATCCCCCCCAATGGATGATTTCTTGGTTCCTATCTCTCCGTCCCTCTGGCAAGTGCATGCATGGAATAGCAAAAATCTCAACAACAAAAAAAAAGTCAGGTCCCGGGAAGTTTTAAACCAGTAGTTTGTGCAATAGAAATGAAATGCATGGGGTTTAAAGGTCTCACATGATGTAATATAGTTTAAGTTTTTAACTTACAATGGAGAGAATCGTTTTGTTTTTTTTTTTCACTTATATTACACTTTATAAGCCTCTGCAGCAGTTTTCTAAGTTTTACAGGTTCTTCCAAACTTTAATGAATAAGGGAAATTTACTTTTATTTCAAATATATTGGGAAGAATGAGGTTGTATAAAGACCAAAGAATGTCTGTGTTTACTTTGCTTGAGATGAGTGACTTCAGAATTATGTCCTATGCCTACTGTCAGTGTTTTTATCTGAACTGATAAATGTAGTTAAATAAGAGTTTTCTTAGTTTGCTCTCAGAGACCTTCAGTTTCTAGGTCTTGATTTCTCCCAAATTTATCTTTTCATCTAAATGTTAATCTAATTCCCTCTGTTTTGTTTGTTTTTAACAGATAGCTGAGTCCTATTTCCAGGAGGAGGACTGTATCCTTTTCTTCATTACAAAAAGAAACTTACAGAACTCTTAGAGAACCATCCATTTTTAAAAATTGATGTATACTTTATAGACAATAAGATGTGCAAATGTTATGGTTTCAGTGAGTTTTGACAGTTGTATGTCACATTAAAAAGCAAAGTATAGAAAATTTTTGTTCTTTCAAAAAATTCCCTCCCTGGAACCAGCAGTTAGCATAATGGCTATGTCGCTGGACTCCCACGTAGTCGACTGCAGTTCGCGTCCCGGACCCGGTGGCTTAAAACTCATGCTGGGTGTGTGTGCGTGCGTGAGAGGAGAATGGAGGAGAAGGGATTGCGGCGTGACCATCGCCCCTGGGGGATGACTTCTCGCTTTCTGTCTCTATATCTCTCTCTGTCCGACTGGCGAGCGCACATGCCCTATAGCGAAAAAACCTCTCAAAAAAAAAAAATTCCCTCCCAAATTTGACCTCCCATAAATAAACCCTAATTTTACCAAAATTAAATATACTCAGAAGGGGAGGGGGAGCACATATTGATGAAAAATAAAATTTTTAAATCATTTGGGTTTTCTTTCTTTTGAATTAAGCACATAAACAAATCAAATGATACATATTCATGCTGTAGTACTTGTCAGGTATGTTACATGTAGTATATCACATGACTCTTATTGCAGCTGTGTAACTGCAAAGGGAAGATTAATTCTTCGTTAGTGATGAACAGAATAAACATTTCTAGCGAGATCATGAGTTAATTATTTTTAGAGAAAAGATTTCTGCCCTCATTTTTATCAGTTTCCATTTTATAAAATGCTTTGCCTCTGTGAGAATAGAACAGCGTATTCTCTCTTAAAAGAATGTATCAGAAGCAGCTGGTTTTCCATATTCGTGCCATTTGCCTTTCCTCCTAGCCTTGTTGACCTTGCCCACATTCCTACCAGCCTGAGGGATAAGTAGTTACTGTCCTGAGCCCTGTTAAACAAAATGTGATACAACTTCAGACAATGCCAGCTTATTACTAAGTATGGTGGAAATCTAGTTCTGGCGGAAATGAAGATGGAACTCTCTTTTTTTTTTAACCCAAATAATGAGGATGTGCTGTAGCACAGTGTAGACTGGCAGCATCAGTAGCCCTGGGAGCTTGTTAGAAATGCAGATTCAGAGGCCCTCAATCAGAACTTACGGGGACCAGACCCATGGATCTGTATTTCAACAAGTTTTTCAGCTGTGTGTTGTATTTAATAAAGTTGGAGAAACACTGGTGTTTTTTCATGGGCAGAGGAAAGAAGGAATTATTCCTCCTCCTTTTTGGCCTATTTTATGATCCTTGGGATATCTTTACAACTACAAAAAGACAGAGAGGACCAAATCTCATCATAATCCTGGAAAGGACAAAAATTGAAACAGCTTTTCTCCACTTTATTTTTGGGTCAACATTTAGAACATTGCCCAAAGGAAGATCAGCCGTTGGAAAACGTATCTTGGCCTCAAAAGATGCAAGTATGTGTGATACAAATGTGAAGGCAAAAATTCATTAGAAGATCTACAGGGGAAAAAAGGGGAGGTTCATATTAATAATTATGAAAATCACTGTGGCAAATTAATTAAATTTTTATATAAGATTCATTTAATTTTTGTCCTGTCATTGTTTTGGCTTGGAATCTTTTAGTCTTATGGGAGGAAGCATTCAATGGGAAATAAGTAAAATATTAAAATGGATTTGAAACCAGAAACAAATGCTTGATTAGAAAGAGCACATATTTACTTGACAGAAAGTAATTTTATTTTTTATTTATTTATTTTTTTTTTGGAGAGGTTTTTGCTATAGGGCGCTTACGCTTGCCAGACAGACAGAAAGAGACAGAGACAGAAAGCAAGAAATCATCCCCCGGTGGGGGATGGCCACGCCGCATTCCCTTCTCCTTCATTCTCCTCTCGGGATCTTGGGCACGCACCCACACGCGCCCGGCGTGAGTTTAAGCCACCGGGTCTGGGACGCAAACCACGGTCAACTACATGGGATCCAGCGACATAGCCATTACACTAACTGCTGGTCCCCAGAAAGTAATTTAAGGAGAAAAAACATAAAGATTCAAAGAGTCCATGTGGGTCCTCTTCCAGTCAAATTACTTTTCTTTAAAATTTTAATAATATATTTTAATCCATTACATTTATATATAGTATCATAACATATAATCTTATTTTATTTGAAGTTCTTTTATACATTCAATCACATTATTTAACTTGCAAAGTGAATATTCCATCATGTGTACATTTCTCCTCAGTCTAGTTGATAACACTAAAAAGTTATCTTCAACAGGTAATACCCCATTTCTTTGTCCTATTAATGCTAAGCTCTCTATTTTTCTCCCTAATGTCCTTCCTCAGACTCTACTCCTTCACCCACCCTCTTCCCACACTATATCCAGTATTCACAACCATTTACTGTGTTTCTATGTCCTTTAGTCATTCAGTTTTGGTCATAGAGTGCAGACACACAGTATATATTAAGTGGAGACATACAGTGTCTCTCCTTCATAACCTAGCTTGCTTCACTCAGCAGTCAGTCTTCCATATTCATCCAATTTCTGTCAAAAGCCAGAGTCTTTTTTTTTATGGCTGAGTAGTATTTTATAGGGACAGAAGAATTCTTAGTTGGAAAAGTGCTTGCACATCGATGTTTATTGCAGCATTATTCACAATTACTAAGACGTGGATCCAACCCAGATGCCCACAAACAGATGAATGGATTGAAAAACAGTCAAATTACTTTTAACTGGTAGGATTCTGCCAGGAATATGTCAGCAAGCAGGTGTTACTTGAGCATTAAAGCTTTCCTTTAGTGTCTATTTTTTATTGATAGTATGAAACCCAAGCAGTTACTGCATAATATGCTACATTAAAAACTACTTCAGGTCAGCAGATGGCATGGAGGTGCAGGAAGCTGGATTCCATATGGTGGGCTGCATGGTTCAAGACCAGGAGGATTGAAAATCATGCAAGGCATGCCTAAGATACTGAGAGGAGAATGGTGGAGAAGGGATTGCAGTGTGGTAGTTCCCCTTGTGGGGGCAATTTCACACTTTCTCTCACTCTCTCACTCTGTCTCCCCTTGGTGAGTGTACATGCCCTATAGTAAAACTTAAAAAAACAAAACAAACAAAAAAAAAAAACCTATTTTAAAACCAAGAAGTAGTATTTATTTATTTTTAAAGTTTCTTTTTTCTATGAGTGAGAGACAGAGAAGGGGATAGACACCAACCCCAACAGGGTCCCAGTGCTGTGATCCATCTTGAGTCTTAAGGCAGCCCAGATCTCATGTGCTCAGCCTATTCAGGGAAATTGCTGGATTGAGAACCTTCCCATACGGATTGCCTCACAGAGTGTTGCATTTTACTCCTCCACCATTGTCTGGCCCCAACATTACTTTAGATATGTTTCAATGTAAAAATATTTAGAGTCCTTTAATTTTGGGGAAAACCACAAATTTCTCAACTCTCATAGGACATTCCTTTTCAGATATGGAGCTTAATGTAAATAGTCTGGATTTCTCTTTTCCTCAACTTTAATGTTCAGATGAGAAAGCAATGAAATTCATTCAGCTTGAACGATTATATCATGAACAGTTGCTTGCAAATCTCTCTGCCATTCAAGAACAATGGGGTAAGTACAGACTAACCCAATGTGGAATTATCAGTAAGCTAACAAATCGCTATCTAGAAAGTTAACATATTTGACCTGATTTTGTAAGTCAAGAAATAGATGTTTCCATTGTCAAGGTAATATTGCAAAGAACATAGAATTTTTAACATAAGACTATTTATTATGAACTTTTTTTTCTTTGTATTTTTTCTTTCTACATAAATGCCAAAAAATAACAGTTGTGGCTATTTACATTTCTTAAAATCATACCACATGATTTACTGGCTAATTTAGTCTCCTGGATGATATTTACTTATATTGAAAAGTAATCACCTAGCTATTTCTAACTGTGTTGACTCTTAAGTTGTTAGAGAAGATAATTTTGTATGCTAATTTTTGTCAGTGGTTGCAGATAAGTATTTTTTGCTTTCTAAATATGGTTCATAAGAGCTAATGACTAACAAATATTTTAAATGTAGAAACAAAATGGAAAACTGTACAACCACATGCAGTTATGTCTCCAAGAAATTCAGAAAAAGGATTTAAAGGTGAAGATTTTGAACGGCTTACTAAATTCTGCACAACACATCAAGAGTAAGTATGTCAGAATTTGGTTAGTATGAGTTTCAGTAGAAAATCGAAGTGTTGGGGGAACCAGCAGTTAGTGTAATGGCTATGTCGCTGGACTCCCACGTAGTCAACCACGGTTTGCATCCCAGACCCGGTGACTTAAAGCTCACGCTGGGCACGTGTGCGTGCGTGCCCAAGATCCCAAGAGGAGAATGGAGAAGGGATTGCGGTGTCACCATCCCCCCTGGGGGGTGATTTCTCGCTTTCTGTCTCTATGTCTCTCTCTGTCTGGCGAGCGAGCACACGCGCCCTATAGTGAAAATCTCTCCAAAAAAAAAAAAAAAAGAAAATCGAAGTGTTATGGCATTGCATTAAATATTGGAATGTAATATCCATTTCTTTCCCTTTTATATTATTTTTTTGTCATTATTCATTATAAGGCATGTGTACTCACCAGAGGGGGACAGAGACAGAGACACAGAGAGAGAGAGAGAAAGGGAGAGAGCAAGCTGCCAGGTCCAGGACTCAAACTGTGGTCGGCCATGTGAGAGTCCAGCATCTCAACCAGTATGCCACCTGCTGGCCCGCATTTCTTTGTTTTTTGATGTTTTCAACTGGAAAAATTAAAATAAATATAATAAATTATGATGGTTCCTTTTTTACTTCTGTCAGTAGGCACATACACTCAGAGACAAAAAAAAAAAAAGCATCCCCCCTCCAGTGGGGCATGGTCATACCACAATCCTTTCTCCCCCATTTCTTCATCCCATCAAAATTTTGGGCATGCATGTACATGCTCCTGTCATGTTTTTCAGTCCACTAGGACCAGGGTTGTACTGCAGTCAGCTGCTTAGCACCTAGCTCCCAGCACATGGAGTTGAAGAACTACTACGCTATAGGGCCAACCCTGAAACATAAACATTTTTAACAGTACTTTAATGCTGAAGAATAAGTATAGTCTAGTGTTCAACCAGAATGCTGCAGAAGGAAGCTACTTTTACCATAGCACTTGGTTTGTATCAAGGAGTTAGATTTATTTATTTATTTATTTTTGCTAGAGGGTACATGTGCTCACCAAAAGGAGAGGGAGAAAGGCTTGCCCAGCAGGATGTGGATATGCCTCCATCCCACCTCCATTTTTCCATCCTATTTTTCAAGCTGCTGGGGCCAGGATTCACATGGTTGGCCATTTGAGATCTGGCCCCCGCAATAACCAGGCCATGAGACCAACTCAAGGAATTGGACTTTTTAAAACTAAATTATAAAGCACTTCGTTTTTTTGGGTTTTTTTCATCTTCTTTTTTTAGTTTGCTGTAGGGTACATACCCTTGACAGAGACAGGAAGGAAGAGTGAAATGAGAAATTTCTTAGGCTTGGGGCACACATGCATGTGTACCTGGCATGATTTTCTTTTTTTTTTCTTTTTTGTTTTCTTTTAACCTGGCATGATTTTCAAGCTGCCAGACTTGAACTGCACAATCAGCTATATAGAATCCAGCCATCTTAACTTCCATGCCACCCACTAGCCCCAAAGCATAAGTCAGTACAACAGATAAAAGATTTTTCATTCTCATCATAACTTTTTTCCTTCTCTCTCAGAATCATGAAGAGTCAAAGTAAAGCTCTTTTTGTTAATGAAGTGGTGCCAGATAGTTGTTGCTATGTTTATGCAGCACATAGAGAACTTGCTTTTGAATGTTTTAGATTAGCCTCTGAAGAATGATTCTAGATTCAGAAGTGGAGGCTTATTTAGATCTTATGATGACGATTTTCTTATATTCGATTTGAACCTATAAAACTATTTTCAGGGATTCTGAATTACATTCTCATTTCTTAGCATGTTAACATTCAACTTCATAGCATTTTTATATAGTGGAATTTTTTTCTTTTTGAAGAGAGAGATTTTTGCTATGGGATATGTATACTGACCAGAGAAACAGTGCAAAATCACCCCCCACCCCCCCATGGGGGTGGCCATACTACAATCCCTTCTCTTCCATTCTCCTCTTGGGATCTTGGGCATGCAGGCACATGCATTTGGCTTGCGTTTTAAGCCACCAGATCTGGGACTCAAACCATGGTCATCTGTCAACTATGTGGAAGTCCAGCGACATAACCATTATGCCATCTGCTGGCCCACAGAATAATGAAATCTTTTAAAGTAAAGATCATGTTCTTACTTTCAAAATACAGTGTAAACACCTTCCCTGCCTTTTCCACAGAACTAGTAACTTCTTAATGTTTTACAAATGCCTTTGTTGGATATGTATGTTCTGTTACATTGAATATTCCCTAAAATTAAATGTTTAAAGGCTACTTTTGATGATCTGTTTCTCTGGGTATTTCTAACAGAACTGTCTTTCACCGTAATCTGTTTTCAATTATAATAATATTAACTGAAATTTTGAAAATATATGTGTGTGAGGTAGTCTAAATACATTATTAGCAAAAAGTTAATATTATTTTTTTTTAATTCTAGATTTCAGCATTTATAGTATCTTTGGGGTTTTCAATAGTAATTGGCTATCTAAGGAGATTAACACTGATATAACTGCACTTTGAACTATGTAAGCCAGTGGTAATGTTTCAGCTGAGGAAATGTTCTGTGCTAATATTAGAATCCAGAGAAGCTATATTTTTTTTTACAGCCATTTCAGTGACATTTGTTTGGAAGCGTATTGCCGTTAAGATTTTTTTTCAATTCTTCTTTCTCCTTTTTTTCCTACAGTCCTCTTTTATCCAAACATAAGGTAAGGTGTTTCTTTTCAAAATATTTAAAGGAAAAATGTTAGTGTAATATGTCTGTTTATGGATTGCTTCAGAAAATAAAGAAACCTTTCTCATGTTATTTTCAACTTTCTAATTTAATGCAACAGTTTCCAAAAAGTTAGCTTTTTTGTTGTTGTTTTTAAACTTTTTAGATAGCGGCCGTAGAAAAGTCTCTGGGAAGGAAATGTATTATGCAGTTAATAGTGTCTGAAGATCCAAAGGAAAGAGGAGCTACAGCCAAAGAGTCAGGTATCTTTTTAAATTAAGTTGGGGTGATATAAAAGCTTCCTGCCTCCTAATGTATTTTACAAGCGTTAATCTGTATCGGTGTGAAAGAACGATTTTGTGTTTACATTTTTGTATGTATATCTCTTCTAGAAAATTACCAAAGCAAGATTTATTTTTCCTGTTGCATAACTCCATCTTTAGACATCTAGTAGTAGACATTATAAGATCTACATTCTTATAAAAACATAAATTCATTTCCATGTTTTTAGTAGGTGGTTATATGTATTGTGAAGAGATTGTATAAAAATGTTCTGAAATAGAATTGGTTTTGGTACATTCAAAATCTTTTTCTGTTTAAAAATTAACAACTATTGTATGAACTTTTACCAGAAATTTGGTCTGTGACGCTAGATATTTAAAAACTCTCTATCTTGATAATTTCATCTATAAAAAGTATTCTCTTTGCCTCTTGGTTAACTAACATATGATATACTTTAATGTCTGTATATATACCTCTAATGCATTTTTGATGTATTTATACCACTTTGTGTCTTACATCAAAGGATTTTTAGAAACTTTTTCTAAATCTTTATAAACATTTCATGTTTAAAAATTAATTAATTAATTAAAATTTCATGTTGTTCATCGTAAAAACCTGAAAAAATAAAGACAAATAAGTATGTATTTAGATTTTACTATTTTCCCCCATACTTGATTTTATTACTAATTTATATTCATGGTCTTCACATTCCCAAGCCTGAAAGCCCTGAAATTGAAAGGAAGTATCAAGTGTTTTCAGCGAGTTGCCCTAAAGATAGAAGATGATTTGGATGCTGTCTATTTAATTTGCCTTTTACTCGTCACAAAGTACTTTTTTATTTTTTCAGATCTTTTTTCCTTTTTTTTTTTTTTTTACATTGGGCAAGTTCGAAATACTACGTTGGTCAGTCCTATTATGTTCTGTTTTTCCTGTTTTTTCTTATGTCAGAAATCAGAGTAAAATAAACTTCATCATAATGTTGATGGGGGTCTCATAAAAAGCTGTCTTGCTGGGGCTGGCAGGTGACATGGTTGTTAGGGTACTGGACTCTCCCATACAGTTGACTGTGGTTCGCATCCTGGTCCTGGTGACTTGCTTTCTCACATTCTCTCTTTCTCACTCTCACTGTAGTGGCCAAATTTAAATAAGTAAATAAAGTTAAATAAAAAAAATTTTTTTGAGAGGTTTTTTGCTATAGGGCGCGTGCGCTCACCAGACAGACAGAGACAGAGAGACAGAAAGCGAGAAATCACCCCCCAGGGGAGATGGCCACGCCACAATCCCTTCTCCTCCATTCTCCTCTTGGGATCCTGGGCACGCGCACGCATGCACCCAGCGTGAGTTTTAAGCCACTGGGTCCAGGACGTGAACCTCGGTTGACTACGTGGGGGTCCAGCGACATAGCCATTACGCTAACTGCTGGTCCCAATAAAATAATTCTTAAAAAAAAAAATAAAAAGCCATCTCACGGGGCGTGGATGTGTCTCTGTGTTGTGTGTTGTACAGGTTGTAAGGAGTGCTATTATGGGGGTGTTTATGTAAGTCTGAGACTTAACTTTGGTCACTGTTCGGTGCTGTCGAGGAGGGAAATGGAGGCACTGATTTTAAGTCACTTGCTTGGCGCTTCGATTCACAACTAGGACTTGAATCTTTGGTTTTTAACTGACCATAGCATGCTTCTGCTAAGTAAGTTGCATGAAATATCAAGGACTTCAATAATACTAACATATTACTAATAACCGTCTATTGAGGAAATGTGATCTAAATTCCAAGGAGAGAAATCTTGCCCAAATGTGATGAAATAATGTTTTAAAAAGAAATCTCAACAATTTGGGGGATGCCAAATGTAGTTTGGAACTCCATCTAAATTATATATCTTTTTTTGCATGTGTTTTTGTTTTTTAGGGAGAGAATTTTGCTAAAGGGCACTTGTGCTCACCAGAGAGAAAGAGACAGAAAGCAAGAAATTGCTCCCTGGGCAGATGGCCATGTTGCAATCCCTTCTCCTCTCTTCTCCTCTTGGAATCTTGGGCACACATGCTCACACACCTGGCGTGAGTTTCAAGTCACTGGATCCAGGACTTGAACTGCTGTCTACTATGTGGGAGTCTAGCAACGTAACCATTATGCCATCTGCTGGTCCCTTAAGTTATGTCTTTTTTTATTTTTATTATTATTATTATTTCTAAATAATGGGATAAAGCAACCATTTTTAGACTGTTCTGTAAATAATACATTGTACTTATGCTTTGTCTTTACTATTAACCACTAAAATGGTATCTCAGTTTATTAGATACAATATTTTCAATGGTTGTCTTTTGTTCAGTAACTAGGGTCAACCCTCTCACTTCTCACTCACATGATGGCATGTCAGAATGATTCTGTTATTTTTCAGTCATTTATAGTTATTAAACAGTCTCATTTTGATTTTTTTTTATTGCTTAATCCAGACTTCATTTTAACATTTACATCTCAGTTTACTCAAACCTCTTCTCTGCCCTCCAGCCGCCAGGGGCTGCTGGCAAAGTCTGCTCGCAGTTGGAGCTGGCAGGATTACTGTTAATGACTGAATCCAGGTGGTTCTGTGGGGGATGAGCGCCCGTAGGCTAGCTGAGGACAAGCTTACTCCTGCGCAGCTCTCCTGGAAATCTGTGGTCATTTAGGTACCATCTGGGAGCAGTACAGTCCATTCCTCTGATTGAAGGGAGGGTTGATTCTGTTTCCTATGCTTTTACAGTCCCTGTAAGACTGTAGTCCCCAACCTCATTTCATCTCTGAATCCTATGGACATGTTTCAAGGGCCATCTTCTGAGCTTTTGGGTACTGGGAATTTGTGGAGGACAGGAGTGCCCCCTTTCCACCTGGTTGTGGCCCTTTTGCTTTAACCTTCCCCATCTTAACAGAAGGGCAGGTCAGTAAGCTCCATGGCAAAGCAGACAACTATTAGAGATGAAATGTCCATGTGTTTTCTTTTTCCTTTTATTTTGGAGAGGTTTTTGCTATAGGACACATATGCTCACCAGAAAGACAGAGAGACAGAAAGCGAGAAATCACCCCCCAGGGGGGATGGCCACGCCACAATCCCTTCTCCTCCATTCTCCTCTCGGGATCTTGGGCACACACGCACGCGCGCCCAGTGTGAGTTTTAAGCCACCGGGTCCGGGAAGCAAACCGCGGTCGACTACATGGGAGTCCAGCGACATAGCCATTACTCTAACTGCTGGTCCCACCACCTTCTGGTCTTGAGGACATTTAAGTAAGGATGTTTTTGTTATTGTTGTTATGGTTTGGGCCCCACTTCTCCGTTTTCTCAGTTGGAATTATTATTATTTATCTATTTTAGATTTTTTTCTATAGGCACATACATTCACCAGAGAAAGAGAGAGAAGGAAAGTGAGAAATCACCACTCAGGAGGGGTCCAAGCCACAGTCCCTTCTCCTCTTGGGATTTTGAGTGTACATATACATGTACCCAGTGTGTTTCTCAGACCACCAGGTCCAGGACTTGACTGCAGAATCAGTCATATGGGATCTAATGCCTTAACCAGCATGCCATCTGCTGGCCCAATAATTATTAGAAGTACCAATAAGTGAAAGCCAAATGAAATAAAATTATCACCATAGTTTGTCTTATTTTTACCTTTGTCCCATTTATATAAACTTAAGATAGGACTGAAAAATAGTTAAAACTTCTAAAATAGTTATGACACTAAATGTATCAATAAACGAAGGATCAGCAAGCTTCTCTGTTATCTGTTAATTTGTGTAATTCCCATTCATTATTACATGAAAATTTTTAAATATATATATTTTTAAAGATTTTTGCTTTAGGATGCTCACACTTGCCAGAGAGACAGAAAGAGACAGCAAGTGAGAAATCTCCCCCCATCCCCCCGCCAAGAGGGATCGCCATTCCTCAGTCCCTTCTCTTCCATTCTCCTCTTGAGATTTTGGGCATGCACACACACGCTTCCAGTGTGAGTTTTAAGTCACCGGGTCTGGGACTCGAACCATGGTCAACTAAGTGGGAGTCTAGTGACATACCCATTATGCTATCTACTGGTCTCTGTATTCCTTTTTTTATTTTAACTTTATTTATTTTACTTATTTTTAATCTTGACCAGAGAGGGACAGAGTGAGAGAGAGAGAAAGTGAGAAAGCAAGCCACCAGGTCTAGGACTCAAACCACAGTCAGCCATATGGAAGTCCAGTGCCCTTAACCACCATGCCACCTGCTGGCCCCCCTGTATTACTTTAAAAATAAATAAATAAATAAAACAGCTTTTATTATTCACTCTGTATTTATGTGTGGTATTTTAGACAGGGTCTTACTTTGTCACTGGTCTCTTGTGTGGCCTTGCCCTGTCAGCAGAAATATCCAGTGGATACTACCAGCAAGGCCCCAATATTTCTTTTCTTACATTTTAAATTATAAATGAATGTCTAAGATTTACTATGTAAAAATATTTACTTAATATGCCATGTCATTTATTCTTATTCATAATAGAGTGAATGTGTATGCATGGGAGAGAGAGATAGAAGAGGTCCCCTCAGAGGTGCCCAGCCACACTATTTTACACTCCCTTTGGCCCTCCAGCACCAGGACCCTAGGCAAATGCATATGCAACCGATGTGTTTTCAGGCTGCCCGGAACAGGGGCCTGAGTCGTGGTCAGCATGTGACTTCCACCTACAAGTCTGGCATGCTACCGGCTGTGCCGCAGAGACTGGGCTGGACTTAATATACTGAAAATAATTTTTCTAGCATAATTTAAGTGTGAAAGGTCAATAAAGTTTAATATACTTCTTAGTTTGCTATAGGGTGTGTGTTCTTACCAGAAAGACAAATAAAGGGAAAGTGAGATATCACTCTGCAAAAGGAATGGCCACATTGCAATTCCTTCTTCTCTTAGGATTTTGGGCACGCATGCATGTTGATTTTCAAGCCACAGGGTCTGGGACTGAACTTTGTAGTCGGCCTTGTGTGATCCAGCCACCTTAACCTCCATACCACCTGCTGGCCCTGGTATATCTTTAACCTTTGAAAAAAATATTTTTTTTCAGTTACAATGGAGACCTAATTATTTATTCATATTAGCATGTTTTTGAATAATCTATTATTTTTATATGTAAAGATTTATTTACTAAATATTTTAGATATTTCTTCTACATAAAGAGACTATTTATTATACAGCAGATAAAATTCCCGTTTCAGAGTTAGAATATCGTGTTATACGTCTTAGTCTTATGTCCTCCTTTTTTCTTCCTGTGCAAAGTGTTGTTTTGAATTTGAAAACAACTTATTTTTCTTCATCTTTAGAAAATAAAACGTGTCTTGGCATGGAACCAACTAAAGAAAGCGGGCAGCAAGAAGAGCCCTTGGAGAGCAGTCCTTGCTGTGACCAGTCAGGCCAGCAGGCAGATTCCCTGAGCCTTCCGGTAACTGCAAGAAAGGACCACACGGAGGAGCCTCTCTGCAGCACTGAAGCCACACTGGAGCTCCACGCCCAGTCCTCCGAGACGGCTGGGAGCAGGTCTGGGCCAGACTCTTCGGAGAGTGCCTGTGAAGATGACAGCCACTTGCAGCTGGCTCAGACAGAGTCCTGCCAAAATGTAGCCAAAACAGAGGACATTGCTGAAGACCCAAAGGTGTTACCTTCCAGTGAGTCAATGATAGAGCCACAGGTTTTATCAGGCTGTGACCATATACCTCCTGCATTGATTTCTGAGGGTAAATATTCACAGACTCAAAGAAAAGAACTCCATTTGCCACTTCAGGATGCTTCTGAGGCGTTGCCCAGAGACCAACTTGAGAACAATGAATTAGATGAACTCCAGCCACCTGATCTCACAGACAGCAATGGAAAATCACCAAAGGGTCAGACTGACTCAGAGAGCACTGAGAATGTACTTTGTGAAAATAATCAAATATCTGATTTAAGTACAGTGCTTCCAAAGGTGTGTATGGCCCCAGAGGAAAAGGGGGACAAGGATGACCAAGTCAATAAAGAAATAGAAGACTATTTGAAGAGCCTTTTAGAAGGATGTTTAAAAGATTCCGAAGTTTCCCTTTCATATGGAGATAACCAAGAAGACGACTCTGATCTCCTTCAAGATCTTTCTCCGGAGGAAGCATCCTACAGTCTCCAGGAGAATCTGCCTTCCGACGAAAGCAGCCTTTCTCTTGATGATCTTGCCAAAAGGATAGAGATTGCAGAGGTAAACTAGTGATAATGTAGAATTAAAAGTAAAACGAAATTTTAAAAACTAATGTATTTACTAAATATTGCCTTGTTTATATAAGTTTTCTCTGGTCTCAAACATGAAGGAAAATTTTAGTTAACATAAACTTTTAATCATAAGTAGTAGTATTTGTTTGAATGTATTGAACCAAATGACTTTAATCATTATGTTTATATTTCAAGGAGTCATATAGCATGCCTGCAGATATGGTAAATATTGTTATAATAGAACTGTTATTTAAATAGTCCTTGGACTTTTATCTGGCAATCCCAGGAAATGTGATCAAGACAAGGTTAGTCACATTATAATGAGGAAATAGCATTTTCTTCTCACACATACATGTAGAAGATAAAATGCAATATGCACTCACTATTTCTTTTCCTCATGAATGTATTTTTTAAAATCTTTAAAACAGACTAACAGAATGGAAGATACATTTTAAAATATAATAAGATTGGGAGATAATGAATTTTCAAGTTATTAGGTGGTAAAACATACAAAAACCTGAAAAAGAGGTGACCAATCTCTTTATTTGATAATACAATAAAAAATTTTCAGGAAAAAAAAAAGATAGAAAAGCTTTTTCCAAATTACTGACCCTCACAAGGCAGCCTGGAAGAGCAGAATTAGATGGTCTTCACTTTAAAACTGACCCTGTCTCTTAGTGATCAGCCTTATAGAGTTACTTTGTACCTCTGTAAACCTGTTTCCTCCTTTGAAAATTAAGATACTAGCTGCTTTTATTTACTATTTTTTTTTTCTAAGTCAGATTTGAAAATGGGGGGGAGAGACAAAAAGCACTTCAGAACAAAATGGACAAGTAACGAAGCTATATACATAACAAAATATATGTGAAAATAGAACCCTGCGAAAATCTTCCTAAAATAATTGTAACTGTTACATCATTAGCGTCCTTTATTAACACTCAGGGTGGCAATTCTCCATAAACTATGATTTTTATTCTTAATTTTTTTCTTAATGAGATTACTTCACATCACTTAATAGTACAGTTTCTATTTCAGGTGATGAAAAAATTTGGAAACAAAGAGTAGTGATAGTTACTTAACATTTTGAAGACAATTGTCTTCATCAAAAATGTGTACATAAAAATGATTAAAATGGCAATCATGTGGTCTATATTTTTACTACAATTAAAAAATAGTTTAAAAAAATAAATAGAATCAACAGAGAAGCTCTTGACTCAGTATTCATGATCTTGTTTATTTTATTTATTTTAACCAGATCCTTGGTACAGGGCATTATCAAAACAGGGATGACGTCCATATTCCAATTCTGTGATAATACCGTAAGGTTATTGTCCTCTCACTGCTTCTCTCACACAAGTGATCAGTTGGCATTGTGGGGAGAAGCCATATGATCTAGCTTTATCTTTTATAGGTATAAACTCTGTAGAAGGATCAGAACGCCGTGTGTCTTCCTGACTGATAGAACAGCTTAAGGTGGGAGATAAATTGTTGAAATAACACTGTGTATTACAACTAAATGGACTGTTTTCTCCGGAAACTCGTAGTACATTGTCAGTTCTCCTATACTGTAACAGCTAGCAGTAGAAATTTGTGTTTAAAGTTGTCTTTTCTGAAAAGTTAATCTATTATGATCCACCCTCCTAAAATTCTGTTGCTATATTAAGTTAAACTTTTTTTGGAGTCCCAAAAACTGCATATGTATGATTAACAAAGCAAAACTAATTTACTTTCCGATGATAATGCTAAATAAGTTGTTAAACATTTACTTTCTGAATACTTCCTTCCTTCTCTATTCTGGGACATATGCTTTAACTAACAAAGGGAAATAATCCAGTCCTAGTAGGTTTGCTTGTAAGTAAAGCCTGTAATTTTTCATTTTTAAAAATTAGATTCTATGGGCCGGCAGGTGACATAGTAGTTAAGGGCATGGGACGCCCACATGACTTAACTGCAGTTTGAGTCCCAGACCTGGCAGCTTGCTTTCTCACTTTCCCTCTCTCTCTCTTTCTCTTTAACTCTGTCCCTCTCTGGTCAAATTAAAATAAATAAATAAACAAATGAAATAATTCTTAAAAATAAAATTAGATTCTAGGGGACCAGCAAGTGGAATGGTGGTTAAGGCACTGGATACTCCCACATGTGAACCATGGTTTGAGTCCCAGATCTGGTGACTTTCTTTCTCACCTCCGCCTCTCACCCCCGTCCCCCCCTCCCTGCCCACCAGTGTGTGTGTGTGTCTGGTCAATTTAAAAAAAAAAAAAAAAAAAAAGTGACTAAATAAATTAATTAAATAAATAATTCTTTTTAAAAATTAGATTCTAATTTTTTAAAATTAAAGTGCAAACATTTAACTTCTTTTTTTAGAATGATTTATGTAATTTTATTTATTATTATCCTACAATGTGACGGGACATGGGGGAGGGAGAAAGAGAGACAGAGAGTGAGAAAGCAAGCCACTGGGTCCTGGACTACGAACCACAGTTAGCCATGTGTGAGTTCAGAACCTTAACCACCATTCCACCTGCCAACCCCAACATATAATGTCTTAATTCAAACATTTTGGTTTTTGTGCTTTTGGTGAAATTTTAGTAAGATTATTCCCTGTGTCAGGGAAGTTCTTGGCCTTTCGAGGGCCCTCTGATGTCACACTTTGTTAATTTTACTGGATTTGTTTTGGAATATTTTTTATGCTTTCCTCCTTTTGTGAACAGAAGATACAGAACATAATTTTCTAATAGCTGAAGACTAGTTATGAATAGTATTTTTCAAACCCTCAGATACCACTAAGGCACACGAGCCTGCCGGCCTTCACACCTCCATGTTGCTATGCTGTCTTAGTCAGTACCTCTCTGTTCTCTTTCCCAAATCTTCCAGTGTCTCTCCCCTCGGTGACTGCTGCTCATAGCCTCCCTTACCGCTTGTAACTCTTTTACCACTGCATTTGTGGTAGAACATACTGGTATGTCCTTTATTTGCCAGCTTCACATCCCCCTTTTCCTTCATCTCTGCGTTCATTTTCTTGCCACTTCTGCATTGCTCAGCTTTGGCTCCAGTGGAACTTGGTTAGAAGCACTTGTTTTGTTGTGTTTGAAATAAGGCTTAAACAATTTTCTGGGTTGATGTATCACATAAAATGAAATATGCAAAATTTCTAGAGAAATAAAAATGTCTACACTATTTTAATTCAGCAGTGAGAGAAACATGTATAAATAGAAATTTTTTTAGGTTTGAAGCTTTTTCAAATCCAGAAATAATTTTGCAAAGTAGTATCTAAAAGAATTGCCATTCTTTCTTATGGTAACGAAAAAGATCATTATTCATTATCATCAAAAATGTAGTCTCCATTGTTTTAAAACATTTAAAAAAATGTATCAGGCAAGACCATGGCTTGGTGGTTAAGGTGGTTCAATTGCACATGTCGTACTTTCATACACGTGGCTTGAAAAACACACCAGGCACATGTACATGCTAGCCCAAAATCCTGAAAGGAGGGAGTGATGGAGGAGGGGTTGCAGTATGACAATCCTTCCTAGGAGTGCTTTCTCACTTTCCCTGTCTCTGTCTCTCTCCAACAAGCACACAAACCTGGCTAAATTTTAAAAAGAAAAACTTATCCTCATTATCCTTCATGGATTTTTTTTTTTTTTTGGAGAGGTTTTTGCTATAGGGCGCGTGTGCTCGCCAGACAGAGAGGGACAGCGAGATAGAAAGAGAGAAATCCCCCCCCCCAAGAGGGGATGGCCACACTGCAATCCCTTCTCCTCCATTCTCCTCTTGGGATCTTAGGCATGCACGCACACGCGCCCGACATGAGTTTAAGCCACTGGGTCCAGGACTCGAACCGCAGTCAAATATGTGGGAGTCCAGCGACATAGCCATTACGCTAACTGCTGATCCCATCCTTCATGGATTTTTAAGGGGAAAAAATTCTCTCTCTCATGCAGGCTAGGCAGCAAGTTAGAAAGATTCACTCATTTACTTTCTCATTCAGTAATTTTTGTTTTGGTTTGGTTTGGTTTTGGTTTTGCTACAGGGCACTTGGATTTGCCAGAGAGAGACAGAAAGGGGAAAGTAAGAAATCATCCTCTAGGGAGTCGGCCATGCTGCAATTCCTTCTCCTCCATTCTCCTCTCGGGATTTTGGGCATGCGTACACACACTCTCTGCTAATTTTTATGTGAGTGATTTCTTAGTGCTACAACATTGTAGATGTATTGATTAAAAATAGAGGGACCAGCAGATGGCATGGTGGTTAGGGTGCTGGACACTCTCACATGGTCAACCATGGTTCAAGTCCCAGACCTGGTAGCTCACTTTCTCAACTGTGGAACTCCCTTACCAAGTTAAGATGGTAGTACCTAAGCAGCCATGTGTGTATATGTGTGTGTGTATACACACACACACACATATTCACACATATACATGCACAGATACATATGCATATATATATATATATATAATTATTTATTTAATTCCATTTGTTATTATTATTTTTTAATCTGACCAGACAAAGACAGAGAAAGAGAGAAAGGGAAAGCAGAAAATCCTGGACCTGAAGGTCCAGGACTCGAACTGCAGTCAGCCCTGTGGGAATTCAGCACCTTTAACCACCATGTCCCTGCCAGTCCCAGGAGCCACATTTTATGAAATCATGGAGGTAGCCTATCCATGTACCTCAGACAAAGGAAGGTCTTAGAATTCATGGGGCCAGCAGGTGACATAATGATTAAGGCACTGGTCTCTCACATGGTCACCATGGTTCGAGTCTCAGACCCAATAGCTTGAAACTCATACTGTACATATGTGCATTCCCAAAATACCAAGAGGAGAATGGAGGAAAAGGGATTGCTGTGTGGTCGTCCCCTCTGAGAGGTGATTTCTCTATCTATTTTTGTCTCTATCTTTCTCTGTCTCTCTGGTGAGTGCACATGCCCTATAGCAAAAAAATCTCAAAAAAAAAAAAAAAAGAACATGTGGTTCTGTCTAGTGT